TATTGTTATATCGGTAGAGAAATGGTATGAGTTAATGAAATAATCAAAATGTCTTCTAGTGATATTGTTATATCGGTAGAGAAATGGTATGAGTTAATGAATTAATCAAAATGTCTTCTAGTGATATTGTTATATCGGTAGAGAAATGGTATGAGTTAATGAAATAATCAAAATGTCTTCTAGTGATATTGTTATATCGGTAGAGAAATGGTACAAGTTAATGAATTAATCAGAACATCTTCTTGTGATATTGTTATATCGGTAGAGAAATGGTATGAGTTAATGAAATAATCAAAATGTCTTCTAGTGATATTGTTATATCGGTAGAGAAATGGTATGAGTTAATGAATTAATCAAAATGTCTTCTAGTGATATTGTTATATCGGTAGAGAAATGGTATGAGTTAATGAATTAATCAAAATGTCTTCTAGTGATATTGTTATATCGGTAGAGAAATGGTATGAGTTAATGAATTAATCAGAACATCTTCTTGTGATATTGTTATATCGGTAGAGAAATGGTATGAGTTAATGAAATAATCAAAATGTCTTCTAGTGATATTGTTATATCGGTAGAGAAATGGTATGAGTTAATGAATTAATCAAAATGTCTTCTAGTGATATTGTTATATCGGTAGAGAAATGGTATGAGTTAATGAATTAATCAAAATGTCTTCTAGTGATATTGTTATATCGGTAGAGAAATGGTATGAGTTAATGAATTAATCAAAATGTCTTCTAGTGATATTGTTATATCGGTAGAGAAATGGTATGAGTTAATGAAATAATCAAAATGTCTTCTAGTGATATTGTTATATCAGTAGAGAAATGGTATGAGTTAATGAAATAATCAAAATGTCTTCTAGTGATATTGTTATATCGGTAGAGAAATGGTATGAGTTAATGATATGATCAAAATGTCTTCTAGTGATATTGTTATATCGGTAGAGAAATGGTATGAGTTAATGAATTAATCAAAATGTCTTCTAGTGATATTGTTATATCGGTAGAGAAATGGTATGAGTTAATTAATTTATCAAAATGTCTTCTTATCATATTGTTATATCTGTAGAGAAATGGTATGAGTTAATGAATTAATCAAAATGTCTTGTAATGATATTATTTTATTTGTAGAAAAATGGTATGAGTTAATGAATTAATCAAAAAAACAAAGAATAAACATCAACGTCAACGTGTCTGTCTATCACATAGAAAAATAAACGAAATACATATATAATGAAGATTATTTTTTTCTTTTTTTTTTTTTTTTTTTTTTTTGTAGTAAATATTTGTTTAGAAATGTTTGCTTACTGACAAACAAAATCAGAATTGGATGCAGTATCTGCAAACGCCAAACTTTGCTTGGAAAGACTGATCGGAATCTGCTACTGAAAAGCGTACAATGCGTGCAGCACTGAGAGGCACTCGGGAATAAATATAGTGGCGGGAGAATGATGCACAACATTTTCTCAAGCAGTTCTCAATGCTGGCTTATTACAGGCGCATGTTACCTCATCCCTCACTTACAATTTCAACTTAATTACGATCAGATTAATCAAAAACTAATTATTAGATACACGATCTTAAGCTAATCGTCAATTTGATTTTTCAATGATCAAAAAAGCTCTTATCTTAACAATTTTCATGCTTGTTCTGATACGATAATTTAATATAAGGTTTACATGAATTAAATACCTATTTCATAGTTTTAACTACCCACACCTGTCTAATTAATAATGGACTTAAGCCTTAGCATATTATCAGTGCCAATTGAAAGGGAATCATTAGAAGATTTCTGACAGCTAGATTCCGATGAGTTTAGTCTACTTCATTTTTAATGATATAGCAAATGAGATATCATGCATCATTTGACGAGCTATCTTTGCACGTAAAATGCATAATAGCTTAAAACAATACAAAATCCAAAATCAATAATGCTTAGTCATATTAATAATTGTAATTATATATTATATAGAGGAATATATAGACCATATATCATTATCAAAAACATAATAATTAATGTGGATTCTGTAGTAATAAGCGCTGGTTCACACGAGCAAATTGATTTACTGTTTGAAACGATATGAATATTCGTTGAATAACTTATTGGCACATTCTATAACGACTGATATCGCATTCGCAAGCGTTTTTTAAATCGTTTCAAAAATTGTAAAAATCATAAAGTTACTAATAATTAGACAGGACATATAATTAGGAATAAAATACGGTTGAAGTATACTATATGCTACTCGATGCATCGAAAAGTATCACGAAAATCAAGCATTGGCTATGTGCCAGAAGCAACGTGCTTAGTATAGGTACAAATCGTGCTGCATATGCAATGCTGAGGAATGACTTGATAGAAAGAAACACTAGAGTGCTATTGAATTGTTGATCGAAAAGCAATCAAATTAATTTTTGTTTATACTTGAAATTATCAGATATGGAAGCGTTACGTCAAATTGCTCAAAATCAAAATAATTGCTATGAATATACCATGTTAAGGTTATTGAATTTGGCTATCATTAATTTCAGAGCGAATAATATTGGAATAATTATGTTTAGCAACGATTAATTAAGAAAATTAATAATTATATTACATAACAAGAACTTCAGGTACAGAGGCACAGGCAAATAATTAAATAAAGAAAGCGATTATAAATTACAACGAATTCCAGCGAACACATATATAGTTGATTCGCTGAATAATATTAGCGAGCATATCAAAAAAAACAGATCGATAATGAATAAAGTTTTGGCAAAAAATTGAGCTTAAAATTATTAAGAATAAATAATCGGATATTTTTAACTCGTGATTTAGAAATATTCATGAATGATAATGTTTGCTAAATGATGCCATATTTCATTGTTTAATTTTCACTGATATAATAAATGTCATATCATCGGAGCTATCAAATATTATATGAATTGATATTCAATAACCTAAAGAACTGAAAAATACGATATTATAGGAGTTATGTTACAAAAAAAAAAAAAAAAAAATTCGGTTTTTTAAGCAATTTAAGTATTATTTTTTCAAGATTATTTTTTTTGAATGTTTGATAGGTTGTGTTTATTTCGTTTTTCCTCATTGACTGATTGTTACAGTACAGTACGTAAAACCTGACTCTGTTAAACTCAAATATGAATGAGTGAGGGTTAACTTCGAACACCTAACATTAAAAATACTTTTAATACTTATAAAACATATCATTCCAAAAGCGCTAAAAAATTGCTTGTAGCTACCAGCTTTGTATGTGAAACAAAGTTAGAGTTTCATTTCTTGATAGTTCACATCGTGATTCTTGTCCGTCGATATTGTAGAATCTCGAGATCTGTATCGGGTTTCATTATATAGTGGATACGTGAAAATTCCACTCAGTATTAATTAAACTCAAACCAACACTAACAAAACAAGTACAAAAATTGTATTCACTTGAGGTAAATAAGACACAGATTAACATTAAAAATTATATCATAATACTGATACGATAACACAAATCTGCACAAATAGGAAATTTCCACAAGTTTAACAGTAAAAAAGTAACAGTAAAGTTTAAAAAAAAGAAAAAATAAATATAGTCAGATTTATAATTCATTTATTAACTGCTTTTTTTTTAACGTGCGCAAGTTGATAGTGTTAGATAATACTATGCAGTAAAACTTAGAATAGAAATATTTCAGAATTATTATAATATATATTATATATATATTATAATACATCATAATTTCTCGATGGTGATTAGTAAATATTTTTGTGATTTGAGTTGTTTAGTTTTTTTTTCTAAAAAAGTAATGAAGAAATTTTAAAAATAAAAATAAATTCTAAAATATCAATTGAAGACTGATTGTATCATGTATTGTTGAGCATTTCATTGAAAAAGCATAAATGAATGAGATAGGGACAAACGATGTATCAACCAAAATCGGTTATTTAATCGATATTTAAATGAAGTAGAAAATTACCGGTATTTTTGAATACAACAATACCCGAAATTGTTTGAGATACTGTAATATGATCAAGTAAACTACAAATGTGCAGGATAATGATTTATTGAACTTTAATATAAAACTAACATTATAAATTCAATCATCAACAAATATCTTGTATTTGCTCATGAATCCCACAGAACAACTTATTTTGTCATTAAAGATTGCCATAAACCTTGTTATATGTTATCATTAATTAATGTAGTGCTGTAATCACATTAAGAAGAAATGCTATCATTTTAACGACTTACATATAACATTTAGGTTACATAAGAGTATGATTCACTAGGGATAATGAAAGAATAATACCTAAATCTAATTACTATTTGAATGACAATAAATAATAAAATAAGCTTCTATTCGACTACAATGAATTAAATATATAAATATTTCTTCTCATTTCCTCTTACTTTTATTAATATAATTGTTGCCTTACCGATCATTATCACAGTAATAATAACACAATCACATAATTAGATCATCACAAATATTATCTATTCCTATGTTACAGAATGCACTTACCGTATGATTTGAGCATTATATCGTAATCCTTATTAACTATCATATCATCAGTCAACGAACGTAAGATTACCGCTTTTAAGAAAAAGAAAATGATACTTAAAAAAAAAACGAAACTTTTTGAACACTTTTTGAAAAAAAATGAAACTTTTTGGAAACGTATTCACGTAACATTATATGATACGTGAATACGTTTTTTTCTTTTGTTTTGATAAGAACCAAAAAATATTGTTTCATTTTTTCTCTTCTAAACAAACTAAACCATTTCAAAAAATTTTTTACTCTGAGAAATCAAATATAATTCTAAGTTTGATTGATTTTACCTGTAATTTAGTATGTTTATGGCAAAGTCAGAAAGAACAAATATTTCCCTTTTTATTCTTCTCAAACTTACAATTAGCACATTGGGAAATGAAGAAAAGATGTTATGATAGTAAGGAGGGAATTAAAATTGAAATCCAAGAAATTAATAATTCATTGATCATTCTAAAATCACTTCGTATCAGTTTTTTCATGTGCCTGTCGTTCCTTACGTAATTCTTTGCGACTTTTTGGTGGTTCAGTTCGTAATGGGATTTGCTCAAATTTAGATCGTCGTTTCAAATTTGATGCCGATTCTTGACTGCTACTGGTTCGAATTTCAGCCGCCACCAATAGCACCACCGCCAACAGTACCATCAATAGCACCATTTTACCAATAGTACAATCAGTAATGACACAATCTCTAATAGTATCATCATCGATAACACCACAATCAGTAGTACCAATTCCAGTAGCACCACCACCGATAGCACGAGCAGTATCATCGTTAGCAGCAGCAGCAGAAGTAGTAGGAACATTTGAGTAGGTGAGTATCGGATCATTATGTGCTGTAATTACCATACAAATCGAATCATGAGAGCTTTTTGGTGGTAATATAGATCATCAAAATACCTTCTAGTGATAATGTTATATTTGCAGAGAAATGATATGAATTAATCAAAATGTCTACTTGTATTCGTGTTATACTGGTAGGGAAATGGTACGAGTTAATGAATTAATCAAAATGTCTTCTAGTGACCAATATTTGCAGAGAAATGGCATGAATTAATCAAAATATCTTCTAGTGATATTGTTATATCTGTACAGAAATGGCATGAGTTAATGAATATAAACAAAATATCTTTCAGTAATATTGTTTATCTGTAGAGAAATGGAATGAGTTAATGAATTAATCAAAATATCTTCTAGTGATATTGTTGCATCTGCAGAGAAACGGCATGAGTTAATGAATTAATCAAGATATCTTCTAGTGATATTGTTATATCTGTAGAGAAATGATATGAGTTAATGAATTAAAAATGTCTTCTGGTCATCTTGTAATATTGGTAGAGAAATGGATGAGTTAATGAATTAATTAAAACATCTTCTTGTGATATTGTTATATCTGTAGAGAAATAGTATGAGTTAATGAATTAATCAATATATCTTTTAGTGATATGATTATATCTGTAGAGAAGTGGATGAGTTAATGAATTAATCAAAATATCTTCTAGTTATATTGTTAGAGAAATGGTATGAGTTAATGAATTTATTCAAAAAATCTTTTAGTAATATTGTTTATCTGTCGAGAAATGGTATGAGTTAATGAATTAATCAAAGTATCTTCTAGTGATATTGTTATATCTGTACAGAAATGCTACGAGTAAATGAAATAATCAAAATATCTTCTAGTGATATTGTTATATCTGTACAGAAATGGTATGAGTTAATGGATTAATCAAAATGTCTTCTAGAGATATTGTTGCATCAGTGGAGAAATGGTATGAGTTAATGAATTAATCAAAATATCTTCTAGTGATATTGTTATATCTGCAGAGAAATGGTATGAGTTAATGGATTAATCAAAATTTCTTTTAGTAATATTGTTTATCTGTGAGAAATGGTATGAGTTAATGTATTAATCAAGATATCTTCTTGTGATATTGTTATATCTGTAGAGAAGTGGATGAGTTAATGAATTAATCAAAATATCTTTTAGTGATATTGTTATATCTGCAGAGAAATGGTATGAGTTAATGAATTAATCAAGATATCCTCTAGTTATATTGTTAGAGAAAAGGTATGAGTTAATGAATTTATTCAAAATATCTTTTAGTAATATTGTTTATCGGTCGTGAAATGGTATGAGTAAATGAATTAATCAAAATATCTTCTAGTGATATTGTTTTATCTGCAGAGAGAAGGTATGAGTTAACGAATTAATCAATTACTTCTTCTAGTGATAGTGTTATATCTGTAGGGAAATGATGAGTTAATCAAAATGTCTTCTAATGATATTGCTGTTTCTGCAGAGAATGATATGAGTTAATGAATTAATCAAAATGTCTTCTAGTGATAATGTTATATCTGCAGAGAAATGGTATGAGTTAATGAATTAATCAAAATGTCTTCTAGTGATAATGTTATATCTGTAGAGAAATGATGAATTAATCAAAATGTCTTCTAGTGATAATGTTATATCTGCAGAGAAATGGTATGAGTCAATGAATTAATCAAAATATCATCCAGTTATATTGTTATATCTGTACAGAAATGGTATGAGTTAAAGTCATAACATTCCTTATTTGAATTCTCCATAGATTTTCAGTTTTTATGCTAAAAATAACATTACATCATAAGTTTCAGTATAAATTTTTTCTGATAAGAAAAATTTAAAAGAAACGAATTTTTTTGTCAGCAGTGATAATGATAATTATTCATTGTTTTTATTATCTATAAGCTGAAATTCTGCTTAACGTTTTCGCTTTTTAAATTTGTTAAACAATATGCAAACAAATAAAGTTGGTAAGCAAATGGTAAATAAATAATTATGCAAAGATTCTTATTATGTTTTATGAAAATTTCATAAGAATGAATGAAATGATTTAAGTAGTAAGATAATTAAAAGATTGATCAGTTTATTCTTCATTGTTAGCACTGTTGCGGTAATTCATCGTAAGTTCTCATTCTAGCTATCAAGAAAAGCTATTTAACAAATTGTTTGCAAAATATTTGAAATTCTCAACGGTAATGGAAATTAAAACGATTCGTGAAGGTGATGATAACTCGTATAACGCCGAAATCGAACTTTATTTGCAACTTCTTTTACCGTATAATTCACTACCTGCTCAGGTATCAATCATATTTTCTTTTTCTACAATTAATTACATCAACCAACTCTGCTTAAATAAAGCTACAGTAATTTCTTAAAATAAATAATCAAAAGCGAGAAAAGGAAAAAAAGATTAAGTGAAAAATTTGAGCATAGAGCTTATATTAAAGTATATCCATTACAATTATTATAAATATAATTACAAGTTTTAATTAATTTTAGACTTTAAATATATAAATGATTGAGTACAGATGAAACAATTCAGTTCAATAAGCATAAACATGTGAATTAAAAATGAATGAATGAATGAATGAATGAATGAATGAATCTACTTATTTGTTTTGTTTTTTTTTTTTTATAATTTTTTCTCTGTAACATCTCTCACATTTTACCTCACCGTTTTTTCTACTGAATGCGCTTTCATTACCTTCATTCTAATTGCCTAGTTGATCTTTCATTGCATAAAAAAATATATTTCACTATATTCATATATCAAATATTCATTCAGAATTTAATTATTACTTAACAAATATCTTTTTCTTTGTCCATTTCCATTCTTTTATTATCATTAATATGCTTTATGTACTTGTTAAACTTCATTTAGACCATATATTTTTTAATGGAAAAATACCATATTGAAAGAATTTAGGCATGTGCTGTCGAATATTTTCGACGTTTACTGATTCATAATCATCTCCCACCGCCATCTTTTGCAGATGCACTCGTTGGTTTTTAGTTCATTTCTTTCATGTATTTGTTAGTTTCAATTTTTGATAGGTATTGCTTATCATTTAATTCATCGATCTGATCTAATTAATAAATGATTTGTAGTAAGAAAACACCTATTAAAGCATTTTTTCTTTTTTTTTTTTTTTTTCATATCTATCAACATTTGCAGTTTTCTAGTTAATCTACAAAAATTTTGTCATGGTTAATTGGAAATGTAGTTCAAATGGTTTTTTAGATTAAAAGTCTCATTCGTTGTTTGCGAGTGGATTTTGCTAATATTCAAAGAGATGCTGCTTGGGCACTTACTAATTGCGCCTGTTCACCGCATGAAACATGCTATAAAATAATTCAATACGTAGGTTTATATATGAATATATCTTCTATAATGTATATTTCATTATTAATAATCAATAATTTACTTTTTTTAAGCTATTTAATGATTTTTCTTGGTGAGATAAGTTATTTGTAAGGGTGGTCTAGAAGCATTGGTCGAATGTGCCGCAGAAACAGATGGTGAAACTCGAGATCAGGTTTTCTGGGCTCTTGGTAATATTGCGTTGGATTGTCGTACATGTCAAGAAATGGTAATACTTCAGTAGCAACAGTGACAACAAATAATAGCAACGATATGATAACTTGCGAATTCATAAACAACATTTATTTTATTTTCTTATTACTATATTTATAACTTTTATTTTTATTCTTACCTATTAGTTACAATAAGTAGTGGCGATACAGGTACAAAGCAGTGCTGCACTACCACTTATGATCGATGTTCTTATTAGTCCAATGTTCATCCGTTCAAAATGGATACGAAATCTTATCTGGGCTTTATCACAGATAATTCGTGGTGGTATTCGAACACTTGATATTATGGTTAGTTTAATTATATTTATGAGCCATAAAATAAAATGTATATTTCATTCTTTACATTTTCCTATTCAAGTTTTTAAAATGAAATTATTTATTATAATAAAATAAATAATAAGAGAATAATTAAATATTTTATTTTTAGTTTGTTCGAGCAGCATTAACTGGTCTTCGTCCAGTGCTGTATTTGGAAGATTCTAAAATAAAAATGGACGCAATTTGGGCGATAGCATACATTGCTGTTGATCATGTTGGTGGTGGGCAGGTACAACTTGAAATTATTTAATAAATTTTTTAGGTATGATGAAGTAATGATGTAAGAAGTAATGATGTAATGATGAAGTAAGATGAAGTAACCGTGTTGTTTATGAAGAATGATCAATTTAATGATTATTTTTTCTTTTTTTTTTTTTTTTTTTTTTTTGTAGTAAAATGATTTGTTAGAATGTTTGCTTACTGACAACAAAATCAGATTGATGCAGTATTGCAAACGCCAGCTTTGTTGGAAAGACTGATCGAACTGCTAGCTGAAAAGCGTACAATGCGTGCAGCACTGAGAGCACTCGGGAATTTGGTGGCGGGAAATGATGCACAAACTCAAGCAGTTCTCAATGCTGGCTTATTACCGCGCATGGTACCTCATCACTTTACATTTCAATTCATTGCATCAGTTTCAAGCAACTCATTATTGATCAACGATCTTAGTTAATCTCATTTGATTTTCAAATGATCAAAAAAGCTCTTATCTTAAACAATTTTCATGCTGTATCTGATACGATAATTTAATTAAGGTTTACATGAATTAAATTACCTATTTCATTAGTTTAACTACTCCCACACCTGTCTTAATTAATAATGGATTAAGCTTAGCAACTATTATCAGTGCCAATTGAAAGGGAAGTCATTAGTAGATTTCTGACAGCTAATCGATGAGTTTAGTCTACTTCATTTTAATGATAAGCAAATGAGATATCAATGCATCATTTGACGAGTACTTTTGCACGTAAAAATCATATCTTAACAATACAAATATAAATTTGCTTGTCATATTAAGTAATGTAATTATTTTGTAGATGGAATTATTTGGACCTATGATGCCAATTAATCAAAAACATGAAATAATGTGGATTCTTAGTAATATAGCGGCTGGTTCACAGCGACAAATTGATTTACTGTTTGAAACGAATGATATCGTTGAAATACTTATTGGCACATTCTATAACGATGATCATCGCATTCGCAAGGTTTTTTTAAATCGTTTCAAATTGTAATTTCATAAAAGTTCACTACTAATTTGCAGCATATTTTAGGAAATAGGTTGGACAGTTATAAATGCGTTAACTGGTGCCAGTGAAAATCGATCACGTTGGCTATGTGCAAGCAACGTGCTTAGTATAGTACCACACGTGCTCAATATGCATGCTGAGCATGACTTGATAGAACGAACACTAGATGCTATTGAATTGTTGATCGAAAAGCAAATCAATTATTTTTTTATACTTGAAAATTATCAGATTATGGAAGCGTTACGTCAAATTGCTCAAAATCAAAATAATTGCTATGATATACATGTTAAGGTTAGTTATATTGGCTATCATTAATTTCAGACGAATAATATTGGAATAATTAGTGTTAGCAAACGATTAATTAAGAAATTAATAATTATATTACATACAAAGAACTTCAGGTACGAGCAAGGCAAATATTAAATAAAGAAAGCGATTATAAATTACAACGAATTCCAGCGAACACATATATATTGATTCGCTGAATAATATTAGCGAGCATATCAAAAAAAAAGATCGATAATGAAAAAGTTTTGCAAAAATTTTGAGCTTAAAATTATTAAGATAAATAATCGGATATGTTTAACCTGATTTAGAAATATTCATGAATGATAATGTTTGCTAAATGATGCCATATTTCATTGTTTAATTTTCACTGATAAATAAATGTACATCATCCGGAGCTATCAAAATATTATATGAATTGATATTCAATAACCCTAAAAACTGAAAAAATACGATATTATAGAGTTAGTTACAAAAAAAAAAAAAAAAAAAAAATTCGAGTTTTTTAAGCAATTTAAGTATTATTTTTTTCAAGATTTTTTTTTGAATGTTGATAGGTTGGTTATTTCGTTTTTCCTCATTGACTGATTGTTACAGTCAGTAGCTAAAAGACCTGACTTGTTAACTCAAATATGAATGAGTGAGGGTTAACTTCGACACCAACTTAAAATACTTTTATACTTATAAACGATATCATCCAAAGCGGTAAAAATTGCTGTACTACAGCTTTGTATGTGAAACAAAGTAGATTTCATTTCTTGATAGTTCACATCGTTGACTTCTTTGTCCTCGATATTGGTAGAATCTCGAATCTGTAATGGTTTCTTTTGTGTACGTGAAATACTTTATTATTCAAATCTCAAACTTGGGTAATTAAGACACAGATTAACATTAAAAATTATACAATAATGAACTGATACATAACACACAAAATGGAAAATTTCACAAGTTTAACAGTAAAAAAAAGTAACATAAAGTTTAAAAAAAAGAAAAAATAATATCAGTCAGATTTTAATTCATTTATAACTGCTTTTTTTTTAACGTGCTGCAAGTGATAGTTGTTAGATAATACTATCAGTAAAACTTAGCATAGAAATATTTCAGAATTATATATATATATATATATATATATATATATATATATACATAATTTCTCGATGGTGATTAGTAAATATTTTTGTATTTGAGTTGTTTAGTTTTTTTTTTTCTAAAAAAAGTAATGAAAATTTTAAAAATAAAAATAAATTTAAAATATCAATTGAAACTGATGTATGCATGGTATATTGTTGAGCAGTTTCATTGAAAAGCATAAATGAAATGAGATAGGGACAACGATGTTCAACAAATCGGTTATTTAATCGATATTTAAAATGAGTAGAAATTACCGTATTTTTGAATACACAATACCGAGGTTGTTGAGATACTGTAAATGATACAGTAACTACAAATTGTCAGGATAATATTTATTTGAACTTTAATAAATAGTAACATTATAAATAATCACAGACAACATCTGTATTTGTCATGAATCACAAACAATGTATTTTGTCATTACAGATTGCGATAAACCTTGTTATTTATCATTAATTAATGGTAGTGCTGTAAAGTACCATAAGAAGAAATGCATCAATCATTTTAACACATTAACAAAAAACAATATAGTAAAGTGTTGACAAATAATATAGAGTAGTATATTCACTAGGGATAATGAAAGAATAATACTAAATCTATTAGCTATTTGAATGACAATAAAAGTAATAAAAGTAAGCTTTCTATTCGACTACAATGAATTAAATATATAAATATTTCTTCTCATTTCCTCTTACTTTTATTAATATAATGTTGCCTTACCGATCATTATCATCAGTAATAATAACACAATCACATAATTAGATCATCACAAATATTATCTATTCCTATGTTACAGAATGCATTACCGTATGATTTGAGCATTATATCGTAATCCTTATTAACTATCATATCATCAGTCAACGAACGTAAGATTACCGCTTTTAAGAAAAAGAAAATGATACTTAAAAAAAAAACGAAACTTTTTGAACACTTTTTGAAAAAAAATGAAACTTTTTGGAAACGTATTCACGTAACATTATATGATACGTGAATACGTTTTTTTCTTTTGTTTTGATAAGAACAAAAAAATATTGTTTCATTTTTCTCTTCTAAACAACTAAACCATTCAAAAAATTTTTTACTCTGAGAAATCAAATATAATTTCTAAGTTTGATTGATTTTACCTGTAATTTAGTATGTTTATGGCAAAGTCAGAAAGAACAAATATTTCCCTTTTTATTCTTCTCAAACTTACAATTAGCACATTGGGAAATGAAGAAAAGATGTTATGATAGTAAGGAGGGAATTAAAATTGAAATCCAAGAAATTAATAATTCATTGATCATTCTAAAATCACTTCGTATCAGTTTTTTCATGTGCCTGTCGTTCCTTACGTAATTCTTTGCGACTTTTTGGTGGTTCAGTTCGTAATGGGATTTGCTCAAATTTAGATCGTCGTTTCAAATTTGATGCCGATTCTTGACTGCTACTGGTTCGAATTTCAGCCGCCACCAATAGCACCACCGCCAACAGTACCATCAATAGCACCATTTTACCAATAGTACAATCAGTAATGACACAATCTCTAATAGTATCATCATCGATAACACCACAATCAGTAGTACCAATTCCAGTAGCACCACCACCGATAGCACGAGCAGTATCATCGTTAGCAGCAGCAGCAGAAGTAGTAGGAACATTTGAGTAGGTGAGTATCGGATCATTATGTGCTGTAATTACCATACAAATCGAATCATGAGAGCTTTTTGGTGGTAATATAGATCATCAAAATACCTTCTAGTGATAATGTTATATTTGCAGAGAAATGATATGAATTAATCAAAATGTCTACTTGTATTCGTGTTATACTGGTAGGGAAATGGTACGAGTTAATGAATTAATCAAAATGTCTTCTAGTGACCAATATTTGCAGAGAAATGGCATGAATTAATCAAAATATCTTCTAGTGATATTGTTATATCTGTACAGAAATGGCATGAGTTAATGAATATAAACAAAATATCTTTCAGTAATATTGTTTATCTGTAGAGAAATGGAATGAGTTAATGAATTAATCAAAATATCTTCTAGTGATATTGTTGCATCTGCAGAGAAACGGCATGAGTTAATGAATTAATCAAGATATCTTCTAGTGATATTGTTATATCTGTAGAGAAATAATATGAGTTAATGAATTAAAAATGTCTTCTGGTCATCTTGTAAAATTGGCAGAGAAATGGATGAGTTAATGAATTAATTAAAATATCTTCTTGTGATATTGTTATATCTGCAGAGAAATAGTATGAGTTAATGAATTAATCAATATATCTTTTACTGATATGATTATATCTGTAGAGAAGTGGTATGAGTTAATGGATTAATCAAAATATCTTCTAGTTATATTGTTAGAGAAATGGTATGAGTTAATGAATTTATTCAAAAAATCTTTTAGTAATATTGTTTATCTGTCGAGAAATGGTATGAGTTAATGAATTAATCAAAGTATCTTCTAGTGATATTGTTATATCTGTACAGAAATGCTACGAGTAAATGAAATAATCAAAATATCTTCTAGTGATAATTGTTATATCTGTAGAGAAATGGTATGAGTTAATGAATTAATCAAAATGTCTTCTAGTGATATTGTTATATCTAGTGGAGAAATGGTATGAGTTAATGAATTAATCAAATATCTTCTAGTGATATTGTTATATCTGCAGAGAAATGGTATGAGTTAATGATAATCAAAATTTCTTTTAGTAATATTGTTTATCTGTGAGAAATGGTATGAGTTAATGTATTAATCAAGATATCTTCTTGTGATATTGTTATATCAATGGTATGAGTTAATGAATTAATCAAAATATCTTCTAGTGATATTGTAATATCTGCAGAGAAATGGTATGAGTTAATGAATTAATCAAGATATCCTCTAGTTATATTGTTAGAGAAAAGGTATGAGTTAATGAATTTATTCAAAATATCTTTTAGTAATATTGTTTATCGGTCGTGAAATGGTATGAGTAAATGAATTAATCAAAATATCTTCTAGTGATATTGTTTTATCTGCAGAGAGAATGTATGAGTTAACGAATTAATCAATTGCTTCTTCTAGTGATAATGTTATATCAGTAGAGAAATGATGAATTAATCATAATGTCTTCTAATGATATTGCTGTTTCTGCAGAGAATGATATGAGTTAAAGATTTAATCAAAATGTCTTCTAGTGATAATGTTATATCTGCAGAGAGAAGGTATGAGTTAATGAATTAATCAAAATGTCTTCTAGTGATAATGTTATATCAGTAGAGAAATGATGAATTAATCAAAATGTCTTCTAGTGATAATGTTATATCTGCAGAGAAATGGTATGAGTCAATGAATTAATCAAAATATTTTCTAGTTATATTGTTAAATCTGTAGAGAAATGGTATGAGTTAATGAATTAATACAAAATATCTTTTAGTAATATTGTTTATCTGTAGAGAAATGATATGAGTTAATGAATTAATCAAAATGTCTTCTAATGATATTGTTGTATCTGTAGAGAAATGGTATGAATTAATCAAAATGTCTTCTAGTGATAATGTTATATCTGCAGAGAGATGGTATGAGTTAACGAATTAATCAATTACGTCTTCTAGTGATAATGTTATATCTGTAGAGAAATGATGAATTAATCAAAATGTCTTCTAGTGATAATGTTATATCTGTAGAGATGATGAATTAATCAAAATGTCTTCTAATGATATTGCTGTTTCTGCAGAGAACGATATGAGTTAATGAATTAATCAAATGTCTTCTAGTGATGATGTTATATCTGTAGAGAAATGATATGAGTTAATGAATTAATCAATATGTCTTCTAATGATATTGTTATATCTGCAGAGAAATGATATGAGTTAATGAATTAAAAATGTCTTCTGGTCATCTTGTAATATTGGTAGAGAAATGGATGAGTTAATGAATTAATTAAAACATCTTCTTGTGATATTGTTATATCTGTAGAGAAATAGTATGAGTTAATGAACTGATCAAAATGTCTTCTAATGATATTGTAGTACCTGCAGAGAATGATATGAGTTAATGAATTAATCAAAACGTCTTCTAGTGACCAATATTTGCAGA